CATGTACTAAAAATAGCACAAGACCTACAAGTTATCATAGTGATGCGTGTTTTTATTGTGCTCACGAAAGTCCACTGAAGTACAGTGAGCTCATTGGTATACGCACGTCGCATCTTCTTCTGTTTTTACTTTATTCGTGTCCTTCTGTTTTTGCGTTATGTTTGTCCTTCATGTTTTTACTTTATGCATGTCCTTCTGTTTTTACTTTATGTTTGTCCTTCATGTTTTTACTTAATGCATGTCCTTCTATTTTTACTTTATGTTTGTCCTTCTGTTTTTAACTTTATGTTATGCTTGTCCTTCCTTAGTTTTTACTTTGTTTATTTTATACTTTGCGCTTGTTCCTCAATTTTTACTTTGTCCGTGTTCTTCTTCTTACGATTTTACACGGTCCCTGTTTTCCTTCTGTGCTTACTTTGCGCTTGTGTGTGCTTCTTCTGTATTTGCGTTTGCCTGTGTTGTTCTTCAGTTGTTACTACATGCGTGTTTTTCATCTGTTTTTATTTTGTACTGTCTGTTCAGAAACGGGCTGTCTCTTCAGCTGGGGCCGTTCTGATTTAGGGCAGTTGGGACGACACTGCGACGGAAAGTATGACCACATTCCTCGACAAATTGAGCTGAAACCTGTCACAGCACAAGACAGTGGCTCCGAGCACAACCTTGCTTTGACAGGTCGGTGTTTTGCGCTCGTAATACGGGACTGGGTGCTCATTGGGGGATCGGGTCAGGGCGGTTTGCTTGCCCGAATGAGGGCGCAAAATGGCTATCTTTGCACAAGCCGATTGCACCCAACTCGTCCCCTCAAAAAACAAACACCCCCCGGGGCGGTGCCACTGACTGAGGTGTCTTTAGGCCATTCCCAGTAGAATTGGTGCTCATATGACGCGCCGTAAAACCTCTACTAAAACTAAAACTAAAAAACAAACGCGTTTGTTTTCAGGCGACGAGTCGGACGATCAACCAGACCCGATCCGATCCCATCCACAATGGGCATCTGGTATAATTGTAGTTTTAATAGTAAATATGTTTTATGCCCTCGTGGACACAATATTCATCAGACTTGTGTATTGTGTATTTGAACTTTCCAGATTTTTTTTTCTTTCTTTTGGAAATTTGTAACGCCACTGTTGACACAATTTAGGTCGTGTAGGCAGCAGGCTGATTGGGCCTGCCTGTCGTTAGGGAAAACCCCGGCTGAGCTGAGAGAGATACAGCTTCCCCGCAGAAGATAGAGATACCCGATAAGAAAACCTCTCTACTTGGGAGTCAAACTCCAATCTGTGGGTGGTGTGGTTTGCTTCTTGTTTCTTATCAAACGTCTATCGTCCTTATCTCCCCTCCTTCTTTTTTGTGTTTATCACTCTCTTGTAACACTTCTAATCTTCGGCACTTATATGACCTTATTGTGTTGCAAGTGCCGTAAAACACTTACTAAAACATAAACTCCAATCTTCTATGTATAACAGCAGAGAGCCTAACTGCTACACTAGTGCTAATGAATGAAGTTGTCTTTCGGCCATTCCCAAAGGGGCGATATTAAGATGTTCTTTTGCACATGAGCTGATTTGTCAATGTCATACTCATACTGTCCCGCAACAACATTGGGGGAACTGCTGCTTTTTCTTTCCTAATCCATACTATCGTCATTTTTCCTCTGCTTTTTTTGTATGTTTGTCACTCTCTTGTGAACTGCTATTTCCGGGGTGCCTTGATAGTCGAAGCAGACCTTGTGCTGTTGAGGCTAGAGAGGTGAGCAGAGTAAGCCTGGTTCTTCCCTTTGGACTTCTCTGTTGACATCCACCCCTTGACGCTCATTTAACCTGATGCAGTTGTGAGTGCCGTAAAACCTTACTACAATGTAAAACAAAACATAACTGCTACACAATAGATGCTGGTGGTTACCCTTCTAAAATAAGGCGGTGAATGCTAGACAATTTCCAAAGATAATTGAAAAAAAAAATTAAAGCATCAGAAATGTAGTTTCTTTGAAGACTTTTGAATTTCATGGACAGAAAGGAATTCAAATGAGGAAGTACTGACAGTGACAGAATCCCATGCGAGCCGCTCATTAATAAGAAAAATTAGGAAATGACAAATGCACCTTTTAAGAACACTTGACTTGACATAATAAGAGCTAAGAATATGTTGCTGTCACTGGAAAAATAGAACGAGGAAGAAGAAGAACTGGAAAAATACAAGGCAAACAAGGCAACATTTTTTTATCATTTATAGCAGTAGTTGTGCAACTTGTAGAATAAAGAGAAGTACATCAACAAATTAACGGTTATATAAATTTAGTGCAGCAAAAGATAAGCAACAAAAAAAAAGAAGAAACAAGACTTACCAATGACACTCTCCATGATTCACACACTGACTAAATTCTAATTGTGAATGTAGTTGTAGGTGTTTTTGTCCCCATCAACTCTATTAAGAGGAAGGCTGCTTCAACGTTGCTTATCAGGGGCACTCCGAACTGAGAGGGATACAACAACCCAGTACACAGATGGAGATACTTTATACTCTTTAGAAGAAAAACCCTCCCCGCACAGGTAAGGAACTCTCATCTTGTGTGATGGTGAAGTGCCTAATTGCTCCTCCACACACTTCAGTCTAGATCTGGACAATAAAGATGTATCTTATCTTATTCTTATTTTATCTTATATATGGTCGCTTTTAAGTACAAGGGGGCTATCCCGAAAAATGATGTTTCGAGAAAATCGAATATAAAGTATTTGCCCCTTGTTCAGTTTCTTTAAAAGACAAGGAGAGTTTTCTCTACTATAACCAAACTAACATACACACCAATGAAACCAAACTTCTCTTGGTAGGGCAATCCCCACTTTTGGTGTAGGTCAAGATTTCTGGAAACACCTGAAATCTGGGTTAGCCCGCTTGTCCTTAAAAGCGACCATATGGCTTCCAAATGATAGAAAGACCAAAAAAATTCTTGATGGACTTGAAGGGTTCATTTATTCTTGGGTTGTTGGTTTTTTTAAGTAAGTGTTTGAATGGAAAGCACTGAACTGTCATAAAGTAAACATGAACTTTAACCTTTTTGTAATCCATTTTCTGTTTCCAGCTGATGGTGAGGTCTACTCGTGGGGCTGGAATGAGCACGGAATTTGTGGAACTGGGAATGAGGAGAATGTGCACAGACCTCACAGAATTTCCGCGTTTATTGGAATTCAAGCACTAGCCATTGGATGTGGTGCTGGGCATTCTTTTTGTCTTGCACGTGAAAGTTGATGATTATGTTCAGAATCAGAAGTTTTATTAAGCTGTGATTGGTATAAAATTCCGACTTGAATGAAGTGAGTGAGAGAGAGAATGAGTTAGTAGTGAATGAGTGAGTGAATGAGAGAGAGAGAGAGAGAGAGAGAGAGATAGAGAGAGAGAGAATTTCTGAAACGAATAATTAAAGTTTTCTGAATGGAGTCTGCTTGAAGCAAGCTCGGTTAATCTGAAAACAGTGGTATACCAGAAGAAAATGAAATCCCCAATTTTGGTTTTCCTCTATTCGATCAACCTCGAAACAAAAGCCCATAAAAACCAAAGAAAATTCAGCGGTCCCGCAAATTTTGTAAAGTGGACTCCACTGGACCAAGCAAATGAACGCCTCCTCTGGTTTGATATTTCTCAGGGATTGCTGTCCGATGTGCATGATTGGATGGGTGGATAGATGTCTTCTTAGTTTTATTCTAGATGGTTCCAGTATTATGTGAAAGATACTGTGCCTTTGAACCCTTAGCTCCTTAATGTTATTGCACCATGTCTGGTAAAGTACTCATTACACTGTGTTTGTGTTTGCTTGCTTTTTTATTTGTATGAGTGTGTTCAAATACATGTTTCATTACAATATAATGTGCCTGTTTTGTATGTGTAATTAGCCCTGAGCTGAGTAAGGATGGTACTGTGCATGTGTAATATGGTGTGTAAAGTGTTATGTATTTTACCTGAGGAAAAATAATTGTTGAATAATAATAGTGCTTGAGAAAAATACAATAAATCTTGTTCAGCAATCACTCACCAACCCAAAACCGGGTCTCTGTTTTACGTTGCTTTCAGGAAGTTACGGTTAATTTGTCGTACATCCTCTTCACAAGTGCTAAATCTGAAACTGACATCAGCAATCATGGTTCACCTCTTATTTTTTGGCATGGATCATCATTGCCTTTCTCACCCTGGGTCAGGGTATAGGCCATGAACAAACATTTTCCACCTGTCCCTGTCCTGGGCTAACCTCTCGGTTATTCCATGTCTTCCCAGTGACTCTTCTCCGTGTTCCACGTAGTCCTCCCCTTGATCTTTTACCCTGTTGGTTCCAATCCAACACTTTCCTTGCTATGCGGCTGCCTGATTTCCTGAGAGTATGTCCAATCCATCGCCACCGCCTTCTTCCCACCGTATCTCCAACTGGGCTCTTACTTGTTCCTTGGCATGGATGTTTTTAAAAAAATAAACTGTCTTATCCTGGTATTTTCATAACTTAGTAGATTAAACTTGAAGAGATGGCAACATAAAATTCACGTCGCCCATCTCTTCAAGTTCTATCTACTAAGTTATACGTGGTCGAACTCTGCCTCCTTTGCCTTCAATTGTTTTTAGCTAGGGAAAGAAAGGCCTTTACGCCAATTCATTTTGTAATGTCTTTGTTATATACTGCGTGTTGGAAATAGTTCAGGATCGTTACTGTAGAAGTGAGATGCTTAATTGCGCCTGCTGTCAAAGTAAAGTACAGTCAAACCTGGTTGTACCGCCCCCTGTTAAACCGCCAGACCCGCTTACTGCCTGGTTTTTGCCAATGTACCAAAACGAACGCATATGTAAACATAGTATTTGCGCCTTTACACCGCCATCCGCCTACCGAGTTGTACCATCCTCATCAAACTAATGTAGATTTGGCCCGGTCTATGCAGGCAGTTGGGCAGGCTCACTAGACAACTTTCAAGCATTTTCATGGTCAAAGGATTGTTTTTTTAACCGTCGACCCCAGTTACAGAGTACTTGCTACGGCGTGGCAGTGGGTGGAACGGCATAAGCCCAGCACTTGGTTCTAGTTATAATATAAGGTACGAGTTTCTTCAGAACCCTTTCCATACCTGAATGTATGATTGATTACTCAAAAACAGGGTGTCCAGCAAGGTCGTAGAGAGCAAGGAGATTAAGAGTCATCACTAAGATAAATTATCCCCTTCTGGAGTGTAATAAGGGACTAAAAACGCTGCTCTCCATATCATACTTTACTGAACAAACAAAAAAAAACCCTTCAAAGGTTATCCACGCTCATGCATGCGATCACACCTCCAAGGATGCTGTTATCTCTCTTTTTTTTTTACATTTGAAATCATTGTGCGCTCCACTTTGTGAAAACCAGGAAACAAAATTATTGTGATCAATAATATTATTTATAGACCAAGACATACTGTTAGCAATTAGATATAGCAAACATCGACCCTCTTTTGTGTCCGCTATTCCTTACACATAAAGTTAGTTATGGCACACGCCTAGAATCATGCAATCATATATCTTAAATTCAGTTTTAAAGTATATTTTTATCCATTTCTTATAATTAAATATTTTAGCATCTTGAAAGATTATCTTTATAATTTGGTATGTTTGATAATTTTATGTTACTCGGACAAGTTTTCTTCTTATTTTACATATCTTTTTGATTTTTAAACTAGATTATAACATAAAACTCTTAAAGAATTGAACAGTCCGTATCACACACATAATTTTTTTTTGCTCCCTGTCATTATCCGTCAGCCCGTCAGTTGGTCACAATCTCTCTCTCTCTCTCTCTCTCTCTCTCTCTCTCTCTCTCTCTCTCTCTCTCTCTCTCTCTCTCTCTCTCTCTCTCTCTCTCTCTCTCTCTCTCTCTTTTATCTAATTTTTCCCATTCTCCTTCGTCCCTTCCCAAGGCCCGCCCCTCCTCTTTCATCCCAGCCCCATCCCCTCTTTCTTGCGTGCATTCCCCCACCCCGCCCACCCCCACAACGTGGCCCAGCCCGATAAGATTCTATAAAAAGAAACGCCACAGTTCGTGATTTAGCCCACGGTCGGTCGCCATATTTGATCCTCACCACGGCGTACTGCTCGTGGCGCCGCAAAGAGAGAGAGGAGGCTCCATTAGTTCTAAGCTCCTTGGTAGAGAGTTAAAAAGTCGTAAATTCAGCGCCCTGGTCGTAAAGGTCGTAAATGGTAGTAAATTTGCCTTGAAGGTAGTAAACATTTGGTAAACGGTCGTAAATTTGCCTGCATACTGAGTGATGAAGCCAGCAAGACTTTGCTGTGAACCCTTGCCGCGGTACATGACTCCGTTTTGGTCGGTCGCGATTGTGATAGGCCTACATGTATAATACATGTATTCGTTCACCTTTCCCCCGCCCCGAGAGTACGTTTCACGCGAAAAGGCGGCTTTGGCGGCTGGCCGAAGTGTATGTGACTCCGAGGCTCGATCGGGAAAATCAAGATATCTACTTTCACTTTCGTTACCACCCAGAAATTAGCCGGCGATAGACAGATAATGCAACATTTGTGACCTGCAGGTTGTACATTGTAAACGCTGCGTCTCCGTGCAAATAAAATTTAATAATTACTCAGACTCGTCACCGTGCTGTTACTTGTGTGTGTGTGTGGGGTAAAAAGAAAATACTAGCGTCGTCTGATTTTTAGATCATCGGGTTCGCCATCGTGGCCGGTCAGTGAACCTTCGCGCGAGGCACCACGAGATACGGCATCGGTGAGCACGGGCGTTTGTTGGGGTCGTCAAAGTTCATTAAAAAGTCTGAGCTTTGCCAAGTATAGGACTACGGAATGGGGCAGGGATTATTGATTTTTTTAGAGATACACTCGGGGGAGGGGGGAGGGGCTGAAGGCAGCACCAGAGGACTAAAACTTGTAAGCAAATTTCAGAATTTTGATTAAATTTAAATCCCTCTGCAAAGCGCGCGTTGGTGCAGGCCTTGTGTGGAATCTGGATCCTATGTACCTTGTAAGCCGTGTTATTGAAATAAAGTGTTCGCGTTTCATTGGTTGGGTGATAGTAAATTAGAACACCATTGTTGCTTTCTGTTCAAGACTGGCAGATTTTCAGTATCACTGCCTATTGCCCTCCCACAGTTCTTACACCTCGCACACTGAATAGGTCTACTTGAGCCATTCAAGTTATTGCTCTACTTGTCTGAGCAATAATTTTTTTCTTTCGCGTTCATAATATGAGTCATGACACCCAGACTGGTTCTTGACAGTAGAAATTCTTGTTCAAGGCCCCTCCGAACGTTCAAAGCAAGATTCATTTTTTAATTTATAGATAATAATGAGATGAAAATACTGAAATACTTAAGTCAAACAAGACCCCCAGTGCGACACTGAGATGTTGTTGACTGGATATATGTATGACCCCGTGGAAAAATGAGAAGCCGGTTTGGCAGTCACCCTGTAATGTACACATTAGGTCTATATCTACCCCCCTCCCACCACCACCAGGGCAGTGCTACTGACTGAAGCGTCTTTAGGCCATTCCCAAAGGGAGGATATTAACATGTTCTTATGCACAGTAGTCAGTAGAATTGTAAATGGGCTGATTTATCAATGTCATGCTCATACTGTGCTGGACAAACATAGGGGCTGCTTTTTCTGTCCTCTTCTTTACTATCGTCATTTTCCTCTACTTCTTTTGTGTGTTTGTCACTCTTGTGAACTACTATTTACGAGGTACCTTAATTGATAGTCAAAGCTTGATTCCCCGTTTGGACTTCTCTGTTGACATCCACCCCTTGTCGCTCATATGACCTATGCAGTTGCGAGCACCGTAAAAACCTTACTAAAACTAAATCTAGTGGCGAGCAAGCTTGCGATGGTCTGTCTATCCTCCATTTTGTCGACTGGACTTTGTTGTGTGTTGTTTTCGTTCCATATATTATGTAATAATTATATAATGTTATTGGTGGCGCAAATGAACTCCCTTTTTCGAGCTGGTGTGGGGCTTGATTTGCTGGGTAGTAAATTTCTTTTCCAGGTAGTAAATTTTTTCAGGAAATATTGCTTGACACCCTGCAACAAGCAGGGCCTCCAGTTAAACACCCATCTCCTTAGTTTCGTAAGAGTTTTACGGCACTTGCAACACAATAAGGTTATATAAGTGCCGAAGAATAGATGTGTTACAAGAGAGTAACATACACGAAAAAGAAGGAGAGATAAGGACGATAGATGTTTGATATGAGAGAAGAAGCAAACCACAGCAGAGCACCTGCAAACCACCCACCACCCATAGGACTGAACAAACTAACAAACCAAATGGATGAAGAATCAAAAACACTCCAGACTCCCATAGCAATCCCAGTTTTAAGAGCGCCTCATCGGGATTCAAACCAGGGTCAATTCCCTTGTAGTCATAGCCCAGCAAGCACAGCAGGGTACCATCATCAATGGAACTGATGGTGCCTCTCAACAGCTGCTGAATTGGTCGCTTTTAAGGACAAGCGAGCTACCCAGATTTCGGGGGTTTCCAGAAATTTTGACCTACACCAAAAGTGGGCATTGCCCTACCTAAAGGAGAAGTTTGGTTTCATTTGTGCGTGTACTTGTTCGGTTATAGAGAAAACTCTCCTTGTATTTTAAAGAAACTGAACAAGGGGCAAAAACATGACCTTCAATTTTTTCAAAACAGCATTTTTCAGGATAGCCCCCTTGAGCTTAAAAGCGACCAATTAATAACAACAGCAGCATCAAAAGAACTTCATAAATGGATGAGCACTTCTCCATGCTTTCATTTACTTTTAAAACAAGCTATAACAGTGGACTGCAACTGGTGCTTGTGGTGTAGAAAGGCTTTTCACACTCACGTGAAAAAGATACAAGTTTGATTCCTCTATGTCTTAGATTTTAAAATCTTTATAATACAGAAATATCTACTTGTCTGCTAGAACATTGTATCCCTCTTAGCGTGGGTCGGACCAAACAAGCAGGATCAAAGCAGCCTATCCTATCTCACAAATGATACCTAAATTGTGTCTACAGTGACATTAAACATTTTCAGAAATTTCCTAAAGAAAAGTTAAGAAATAATCTGGACTGTTCAAAATCACAAAACAAGTCTGACAAATAAGTGTTTTTTCACTTTATTTAGTTCAATACAAATAAACAACATCCATCGCTTCAGACAATGGTTCACCTGTTCGCTTCTTTTATGGCAATATCCTGTACACAGGCCATTCGTAAATTTCAAGGAGAAAACTATATATATATAAGCACACCTATTTTCATCAATTTCAAAAAGCTCCAGAGAAATTCACAAAACCAACAACTTTATTTTAAATGCCTACTTAGCACAATAAATGCAACAGATTTATTTTCACATTGCCAAACAAAAACAAAATAACAAAATAACTTCAGATTCAAAGGTCAGCACACAGTAGGTGTATCCACAAAGTCAAACTTGTGCGTATGAGTATGGCTACGTCCCACCGTGGCGAAAGGAGAAGGAATAATTCAGGTTCTTATTACATCGCATCCCTGCATTCTGATCGACAGAACTTGGTGATGGGTCAACAGCGATGAATGAACAAGAAACTTTTTGCTCTATTCATCGATCTCCCTAACACCCAACGAGCGATAATAACCTTTTCTCACGTTTAGGAAATATCAGCATGCCTTTCCTGCACTGTAGAACAGATTAAAACGACATTTGTAAGAGACAGTGGTGGTGGTGAAACACTCAGACTTTTTTCCTGTGGACGAAGCACCATGACGTCAGGGTCATAATCAACACAAGTCGGCCCCTACCCAAGTCATTATGGTGTCGTAGTAGAAGAGAATCTTACCACCAACACCACGAAGAGCGACGTACCTGTACCAAATAAAACCAGTCCAGACAATGGCAGTTTCTAATAAAGCAGGAATCATTTCAGTGTTAGTACATCATACGTGATACATTATACACCAAGTGTTTTCCTATACTATGGATAGTAGATGTTTTCCCCATACATAGTTGACTCTAATGTCTCCCCAAAAGCTACGACCACGGCTCTTGTGTTATGACAGTGAGCAGAATTCGAGTACACAAAACACTACTACACAGTCATCAAAGCAGCTGTTTCCTCTCTTCCAACTTGCCCAGCAACTCGTCGGCGTCTTCTCCTGTCTTGACGCGGATCAACATCGGCACCGGCACTGGCGTCTCTTCTGACTCGGTTCCAGGCTTGCTGCTGATTGGTGGGTTCGGGACACACACAAAGAAAACGTTGTTTTTCCCTTGCCGAGAGAAGGGCATGGAGGTAGCCAGGATGACATTGAGCAAAATGTTGCCTGAGAAAAAAAACATAGGAGACAAGGAATAAATGTTTGTTCATTTATTTGCTAGAGTAATGTGAAGCACATCAACACAATACAGTCGAACTTAAGATACAATAGGACAGACGGGACCGGCAGTTTTTCCGTTATAAGCGAGGCCTTATATAACCGTAATCAAGGGAAACTACCAGTACCATTGCACCTGCAGCTTACTTTATATATAAAATCGATTACCACAGATCTTTTCCCAGTGGGCTATTTTGCTGACACTGAGACGGAATCGATCAGGGACCCCAACACTAGTCTATAGGGGGGTATGTGTTTGAAAGTTTGGGTTTAGAAGGCAAGCAATCATACAAACAGGCGAAATGTCTTTGTTGAGACAAATTTTAAGAAGAAGCGAAAATGCCTCTCAATTGAAACCAAACTACTTTTGATTGAAAAAGTCAAATACATATTTACAAATTACTTGCGCGGTGCCTGTAATTATCTGCACAAAAACCTTATTTGCCATAATGAACACTCGGGATTCAACGAAATTGAAGAAGGCCAGGCCCGACAACTTCGTTGCATCCGAGTTCCACTGCATTAATATTTTCTCCATTCATTCTGAGACCTGGACTTTCGTCCATGTTTCTAAGGATTGTTTCATTGTGTAGGTTAAAGAGGTCTGGTGATACGATACAAATTCTGGCTAACTCTTTTATTCTGCTTGTATTCGCCGAAGTCTCCCTCAATTTTCTACAACAGCATTTTTCTCCGTGTACAAATTTCAAATATTTCTTAAACTTAAATCCTTTCCATCCATGTCCGGTGCTTCCAAAATTTTAAATAGCCTATCAATTTATCAAAGGCCTTTGAATAATCAATCAAACATACACATATTTCTTTTTCTTCAATACATCCTTCCATTAAAATTGTTAGGGCGAATCTACAGTATTTTTTTATACCATTAACAGAATAAAGCTAAATTGTGTTTTATTTAGATTCGGGTCTTAAACTTTTTCTTATTCTTTCTACTATTTCATGCTGCAAAACGTTTCCTAAATGACTCATATATATATATATGACTTATTTGTTCCACGCACTTCCACTGTGGCATTTAAGAAGAGACGAATACAGTTCCTAGGACATTTGAATAAATTAGTAAAGTGTTGAACATCTTGTTCTCTCTGAAAAAAATTGGCTTAAGTGGCAGAGATAGACAAAAATAATTTGCTGGGAGACCACAAGCAAATGGGAGATGGCCAGGACATTAAGTTATCATTAACAATTATCTGGATTTTTTTAGATCATCTAAAATACTCCAAATTTGTAATAATGATGTACCGTATCTGTAGAGCACTAAACACATACAACAACAACAAAAAAAACAAAACAACCAACTTCTGTTTACTATACATCCATCCCGACAAAACTTTCCCTGCCATACACAATGTAGGTTGTCTCAAAGGGTGAGCGCCTGATTCCCCTCTCAGTCTCAGACACTGGCTGAGAGGAACAATTCTACGAGCATCCACAGAGTTAATTCAGACCCCTCTCACAATCAAACTTTATGCTTTAGAAAGTTCTCGTTAATGTAGTGTAAATACTTAACGCCCCCATCAATACAAGCAAGATCATTTAGGAGGTGGGCTGCTTCAACATAACACTGCATGTCAGGGTCAACCAGGGCTGAGTGGAATACAACATCCAAGCACACAGGTGGAGATACTTGATATACAAAAATGCTTGATATACAACTTCCCAACTTGTTTTAGTTTCAGTAGAGGTTTTACGGTGCTCGCAACTGCATAAGGTAATATGAGCGCCAGAAGATTAGAGGTGTTACAAGAGAGAAACAAACATAAAAAAGAAGAAAGGGAGATAAGGACGATAGATGTTTGATAGGAAAGAAGGAGCTATCCACACCAGAGCACCCGCCAACCACCCATTCCCAACTTGGGAATCGAACTAACATCTTCAGCATGCAAAAAGAAAAATTTTGACCACCACACCTTAGATGTTCTGAACTTTGAGCAGAAACCGTACATCCCAAATAAAAGAGGAAAAACAAAACTAGGCATGCCCTTACCGAGATTAGTGTCTGCTCGGATCAAAAGCTGAGTTTTCGTCTCTTCCACTGGTTTGAGATGCAAATTTCCAACTCCCCGGTCAATCCACTGATTGTCTTTCTGATAGTACAATTTGCATCTGAAATGAAAAGTCAAACAAAGCAAGAATTATCCACCTGTTAAGCCCATAAACAACCCAGCTAACCATGCCACGGTTTCTCTGATCAGAGGACCCAAGTTCACAGTGTCATGAAACAACTTTTCCTCTGTTCTCTCAATAACATGAAACAAAACTTTCTGTCCGTTCTCTCAATGGCAAGAAACAAAAATTGTCTTTTTTAGTTTTAGTAGAGGTTTTACGGCGCTCGCAACTGCATAAGGTCATATGAGCGCCAGAAGATAAGAGGTGTTACAAGAGAGTAACAAACATAAAAAAGAAGAAGGGGAGATAAGGATGATAAATGTTTGATAGGAAAGAAAGAGCAAACCACACCAGAGCACCCGCCAACCACTCACTAATTGTCTGTCTTACCCTCAGAGTCATGAAGTATTATCATTATCACTTGCTTGGTTAGACAATTCCCCAGTCCTAGCTCTCAATGCAATGAAATACAAGTCTTGTCTGTTACTCTCAATGTCATGAAATATAATAACTTGTTTACTTAGACCAGTGCTTGTCAACCTAGACAATATCGCCCACTTGTGGGCAATTTGGCACTTTTGGTGGGGATCACCAACAGAGTATCATGAGTTATTGAATGCTATAAACACGCTGACCAGCACTGGCCCAGACCATGTACAACCACACAACTTGTCTCAACCTTTCACACTCCACCTCTGCCCTAAGCTTACAAAACGCCCTTTTTCATTTTTGGATCCAATTTTTTTCAGTTACTCTACTTATGGGATAAAAAATAAATAAATAAACTGACTAGTTTTTAAAAAAATCAGAATTCACATTTCGGAAGAACGCCCATTGTAAAAGGTTAGGTTGACAAAACGTCTTTTTTAAACGGTTACGCTGACAGCTGACAAAACGCCTTTTTATCTCGAAACTACTGTGAATAAAACAAAAGGCCTTTTGACAGCATACGACAAAGCTCTCAATGTCACTTGGCACAATTTGTTTGCCTCGACCACAGCCCAGTCCTAAAATATACCGTGTCCTGTGGTACCCACTTCCATACAAGTTGATTAAATTTTCTTTTTTATTTTCTAAACTTACCTCTTTGAGTAGAGAGCATCGTCCTCTTTAATCTCCTTCACCTCAGGCTTCGGCGGAACGTATTCTTCGTCATCTACAGGAAGCGAGGGAAAAAGACAAAGGTAAAGTAAAAAAATTATTTTTAAAAAATAAAATAAAAATTTTTTTAACTTTTTTTAAAAACGAAAGACAACCCCAGCTCCCTTCCCTGTCACACACTCAGAGTTTTTAGTTAGTTTTAGTAAAGGTTTTACAGCGCTCGCAACCGCATACGGTCATATGAGCGCCAGCAAATTAGAGGTGTGACAAGAGTATAACAAACATAAAAAAGAAGAAGGGGAGATAAGGACAATAGATGTTTCGTAGGAAAGAAGAAGGAAACCACACCAGAGCACCCGCCAACCACCCACACTCATAGTTTGAGAAAAAGGAGAAGCACATTGAAGTAAAAGTAAAGTATACTCCCCTCCCCCATTAACAGTGCTGGTGGACCTATTGCGCAACATCTGGGTCACAGTAGGATAGCAATTACATCTTTCAGGAGCAGAAAGGAAACCGCTTGTGGTGATATCAAGAAGCGCAAAGACGTGAGGGGAATATATGTGTCATGACGCGGTGGAAACAGGCACTTGTCAATGTTTGAGTATCATGTGGAGTTATCAGTTATTGGTATCATCTTACCTTTGTCTTACCTTTAAAGGAAAAAATACCCATTTATCTTAAATAGAAGTCGAGATATCCGCAACTGAAGAAGGCAGGGGTTAAATAAGTGAGAAAATGTCCACCAAAGTCTGCTTAGCTTGGGAGCCTGTGATAACTGAACACTTACATTTTTTGTGCTTCAATCAACGTTTTTCAGTAAAAATCCACACAGAAATGTGTTTTTGAATGGACTAAAAAAGATGTTGAGCTGAAAAACAAAAATTCAATAAAAATTGCCAAACAGGCAGAAAAATACATATTTCTTCAATTTCATTATTTTGACGAGCGCCTGACTTCACCACGCCGCCTCACATACTATACTTTTACTCACATCAGTTTAACCCTATCCATACGTCGTGTTTTAGTATCGTATCCATACGACGTGGGGAACTGTGTGACACCACTTTCAAAGAGGAAATTTACTCGTTAATCCGATCCGCGCTTTGCATAGCAGTCTGTCAAAATCATTTTTTTGGAAAATACGGAAAGTTTCAAAGAGATCTTCGTACTAGAAGTATTTTAAAATTAGAAGAATACAACCCCGGGGTTACAAAAGGACCCCAAGGCATACGGAAAGTGTTAAGTGACAGACATATGCCACACATCATACAATATCGCTTACCCTTGCTCTCCTGGGATCCCTGGGAGCTCTCCCCTTTAGAAGAGCCCGCGGCCGCAGCAGCAGCAGCTCCGAAGGAGAAACCACTACCCGTGGAAGGGGCTGAGAGCCCAAAGGAAAGCCTCGGTTTGTCCTCTGCATTGTTGGAGGAGGAGGAATCGGTTTTGCTGCTGAACGAAAATCCTGGCATGGAACTCGTTGTGTTAAACTTGAATCCACCTGAAATTTTAAAATTGTAAATCATGTTAATGTTTTCTGCCCTCATCAACACCATTAACCACTTGACTGCTGAAAATACAGTATAACACAGATAGAAGGCCAAATTCGTGCGGATCGGCCTCGGTAGTTCAAGGGATATGTGAACTGTGTTCCGCCATCAACAAAGATAGCTACTCAGGGGAAAGACAATAGATCGTGTGATGCACAACCCTTCCTCTCGCCCACTCCACACAAGCCTAGCTAGGTCTAGGGCCCAGGCATGCGCATCGAGCACTGCGCTAAAAATAGCACCGTTTTTGTGTTCGAGCTTCGCGTAATTTTCTTACAAAGATAAAGAAGAAGAAAAAAAACGGGTCCGAAGGCACCGTTCGACAGATGAGTGATTTCAAGTCTTCTGTGTTCAACCTTCAATCTGTTTAATACTGTATGTACCCTACATGCTAAGGAAAACTTCCACATGCCGTAGACATAACAGGTTGCAATTTTTAATGACAGTTTTTGTGTTTATTCTAAGAGACAAATCAGTATAATCATATACCGATAGAAAGAGAAGAGAAGATTTCACCCATCAACAAGACCTGCGTTGTAACATTGGTAACAAGTAACAAAAACCTGGTCATTCAACAAACAAGAAAGTTAATAGCTACCCGATAGTAAATAGGTCCCTTGTAAGGGCTAAATTTGAATAGAAACTAACAAATATATGCAAGGGACAACAGTTTAACTAGATACTTCTGGACATACCAGTGACCGATTCATTGTTAATATTTTACGGGCTCATTGACACAATTTACAGATCATTTCAGAAATGGGTTGCTTCAACACTGCTGTCACGGCCAACCCCCTCCTTCAGGGTATACAGTATTTCACCAGACAGAGACCATACTTGAAACTGAAAAATGACAGATAAAACTTCGCTCCTCAGGACACACACTCACACCATCTGTGTGCGGTGGGGAAGAGGACTCCTTCCACAGACTCCAGTTTGGATAGGGTGATATCGAAAAGAAAAAAGAAGGAAAGCAGAGACGATTCACTGTGTAAGCATGAACATGTGTCCTTCCAAGAAGGGTAATTCATCTGCCATTTTGACAAAGGCGAGGCACATCTATCATATCAACTGATGACTTTCCATTGACTATTTCAAGACTAAAGCGTCTACTCATCATGGCTACAAAAAGGCAGAATCTAATCAGACCTGGTAATACAGTACCGCCCGGTACGAGAGGCAGTAAGAGGCTTACCATAAAATAAACAGAACATTCCAGCTCCTTCCCCCCCCCCCCCCCCAACCCCAAGGACGGTTAAATTAAGCACTGATCTATACACCTACCATTCAAAGAAGATCCTGCTGCACTTCCAAAGGTAAACCCTTTTGGCTGTGGTTCAGATGATGAAATTCCAAATGTGAACGGCTTGGAGTTCGTTTCCTCTGGTTTGCTGCTGCTTTTCTCCTCCCCATCTGTCGCTTTTGACATGTCCTTTGAAAGAGACGAGGGAGTCGGCTGTGGAGCACTGGAGGCCCCTTCATCAGATTTTATCGAATCTTTTTTGGGCGAGGCACAAGAAGCTGATGAAGAGGAACGTTTCGCCTCTATAGTTCCCAAATGCTTCTCATAGTCTTTGAAAATCGGGGTCAGTATAATGTACGGATTGTCTTCCACATGCTGTTTGATCCAGGCCAGCACACTCTCGTTTAATGATTTCAGAGAGGGGAGATAAGAGCTTGATTCCTTCCCACTAGCCACTTTGCCTTTTTGTTGGTCCTCAGCACCATTGAAAGATGAAGCACCTCCAAAAGAAACAGGCTTCACACCAAACAAACTTCCTGTTCCTAGCGATTTGCTGCTATCGTTTTTGGCTTGTGATAGCTTAGAAAGTCCAGCAAATCCACCAAAGGGTGTTGATGCCTGTATGTAGAAGACAAAACACACATAGATAGAAATAAAACAGTCGCCTATTATACCAAGAGTGCTTCTAGTGTGTAAACATGTATGATGTAGTTCCTTCAGTATTTAAAAACAATTCTTTCAGACTCATACAAACAGCAGCTCATATTTTTTAAAGCATTAGAGAAATATCTTTTTACTTTGACCAGTATGTCTTTGCAATAATTTACACATAGAGTCTAGAATGCAAATAGCAAAGCACACGCATAGCGAACAAATTTTGAAACTCCCAGTTTTCCGGCACTTGCAACACAATAAGGTCACAGAAGTGCTGAAGAATAGAGGTGTTACAAGAGAGTATCAAACACAATAAAGAAGAGATGTTTTGTTCAGTAGAGATTTTACGGCGCTCGCAACTGCATATAAGAAAAAAGGAGAGATAAGGACGATAGATATTTGATAGGCAAGAAGGAGCAAACCATACTAGAACACCCATACATAACGAAAGAATGTCAGTGTCCCACTCATTTCTTAAGTGTACGCTAGACAAGTTCAAAATGACACAGAACAATCTCTCAGCTATTTCCACCCCATGACAAAAGCAGAGAAGCTGTTCCACTTTTAGTTTAAAGTGAGATGCTTCCAAATACATGAAATTAAAATAATCAACTGGACTCAAGCAGTAAAGATCATTTATACACTATATTATACATATAAACTATTGTAAAAAAGAAACATACAGTGTGTTCCTCTCCTACACCTCTGCGCTTGGCCTTCTTGATGACACGCTGTTGCATTGCCTCCTGAGAGGCTTGAGTGAAAAACCCCGCCTGGAAACGAGAAAGGACAGAAAAAAAAACCCCTCATTTGTTTGAGTTGTTAACAAAAGCGCAGCGACATGAAAATAAAATGGTTGTTGTGTAGTTCAAGGTAAAAGTAAGACAGACAGACTGTCAGGTAGAAATAAGAAGAAGAGAAGGAGGTGAGGAGATGATGGTGAACAGATAGAAGAAGAAACAGAATCTTACCTAAAACAAAAGATTAATAGTTAAAAACACTTTTCCTTTTTTTATATAAAAAGACAAAGCAGAAAGAAAAGGAAAAAGTTGCACTATCGATGGCATTAGATATAATAGCAGCACAGAGTAAAAAGAGAAGAAAAGGGCAAGATGGCAAAGACAGCTACTTTGAAACCAAACACAGTTAATCCAAAAACAGTGGTGTAAACAAAAAGAAAAGAAAATGTCCCGATTTGATAGGCGGCAAAACACTCCCATTTCTAAACTGAAAAGAATTTTTTATTTCATTAGCAGCCCTGAACATCCTTGAACGTACGTGTCGGGGGACATTCAGTTGGTCATAGACTACTGTGTCTGCAAAACTGGCTCACATAGGCCCTTCAGGCCTTTTAGGAGAGCATGCTCAGCGTGTGGTGTGTTTCATGACATCACTGGTCCTGGGCAGTCTTTCTCACTTCTCTTTATGTCTACCTTTCTGTCTATTCTGTGTGACTAATAAGCAGATTAATCAAGCTGACAATGTTAAAGAAAACACAATGCGTAGTCTGCTGCTCAAATAGCAGAGTACAGTTATAGAAAGGGGTAGATGGGGGAAAAAAAACAGCCTTTCAACAAGAGAAATTTGCCGCAAGCATGGCAATCCCAACTCTACACTCTTGACAGTCATGATCCGTATTTCAGCAACTCTCTTTTAAACTGAAAACCCAGTTAAACAAGAAAATCTGGAAGTCCTGCAGATTTCGGTTTCAACAGACTCCACTGCGTTTTAAAAACAACTTACAATGTAGACCATTTTACTCATCTGAACTTGTATCTTCTTTTTTGACTAGCTAAACCTCACTAAAAAGACTCTTACTTCTATACTTCACATCAAGCTTGGTCAAAATAAAACCATGAAAAAGTATTTTAAAGAATAATCATTAGATACAATTGTTTTCACACGTAAAACGATTTCTTAAGTATACATCAAGTGTCAAGTTCTTATCAAGCAGTGAGACACTCACCTCTTCTGGTTCTTCTTCATCATCCCAGTTTCTGTCATTGAGTTCTGAACCAGGACCCCGTTTCGACATACCTGAAAATTAATATGATGAATTTCAATAAGTAATATTGATATCTTCACGTCATGTATTGATTGTTGAGCAAGACAAAACATCTATTGACAGTAAATCATATAATTATAAAAGGGTTTTATGAATGAATATTTTGGGAACAGAGTTAACATGAACATGCAAAATCTGTGTTTTCTGTGTGTAAAAAAAGTATCGCAATGAAGCGGAGGTAGTGGAGTTTCCGCTATTTAGCGGAAAAGTGGCAGCTATGAAGCATTCAGGGCACACCATGTATCAGCTTAGAGCTCCTTAGGGGTAAATGGTTATCATCATTAGTTAGCTCAGTGACAGTGTGTAATGTTGGGCCAAAACTTCATCCTCCTCTCTAACAGGATTTTTTGCTACGCAGTGACTACGTTCACGGCGCCGTAAATGTAGTTTGCAATTTAAGAATGATCTTGCTCACTTCACCCCCTACAGGGTTGCCAGCAGACTCTGACAAAAAAGCCTGAAATATTTTTGGTAAAAAATTCTATGCCGCGGCGTGCAGCATTTCAATGAAAACAGAATAAGAATTAACATATTATATATGTGTCAAAATATTGAATACATAGGCCTAGGCCTATTACAAAACCCAGCCTTTTGTGAAAAACTTTAGAAACACCTTCCTGAAGTTTATAAGTCTGCTGTACCACCAAGTGAAAGTTCGGAAAGTGCTTTAGGGTCTTTTGACAGTAAAGAAACAAGTCTTGGGGCTTTTTAAATACTAGGTACAGTAGTCTCCGCCTAAGATCCCGGTGCTCGGGAGCAAGGAAATGCGGGATCTTAGGCGAACCGGGATCTTAACCAATAAACCTAGGGAAGAATCTATGGTGACCCCTGCTAAGGCTCACAATCGGTACCATGGTCTCCCACCACTCTAAAATGAACTGACGTGATCCCTTGGACGTGGGTTTATGACATATATGGCGAGCAAAGAGTGGTTAATCTTGATGACCTATCACAGTGCATAGTGGGATGAGGCGTGCCATTTTCACTTATATCCTACCATGAGTCTACGCTTATCCAGTTGCCCCTCCCCCTTACCTGTCGAAAATTTTTAGCTTTCCATCTCTGACCGAGTCCTCCCCCCCCCCCCCCCATCCAAACCGCCTTTGTCATTACACACCATTACGTTGTGAACACACCAATTAAAATTAAGTCTCGCAAATTCGGGAGTAGAGACAACTTCTGCAATGGTCAGGGAAGAGTTCACAGTTCAATCGTGATCCCGCCTGGAGCAAACATGTAGGCCCTACCCACCCGGCGAGTGATGTAAGTTTAGGGGGAGAGCTCAGGTGTGAGTGCGATGCGTGGGGAAAACAAACGTGTCGGTCAGTTCACACCCCGGTGTGATCCCGTCTGGGGCAAACATTGTATCGCTTCATCGAGTTTTACGTTTTATGTGATCACATTCACGATAGTGGCTGATCTTTGACGCGACGGACAATTTATAGATCTCAACTTTTCACTCTTGGTTGATCGGCTGTGACGCCAAGGTTTTTGTTCCGCAAATTATTATCTGAAATGCGGGATCTTAGCCGAATGTAGCCCTTCAGAATGAATCAGAGCGGGATCTTAGGGGGTGGTGACTTTTGTATAGTAAAAATTCTGTTTTCTTAAAACAGCAGAATTTTAAGCGAACTGGGATCGTAAGCGGTGGGATCTTAGGTGGAGACTACTGTACCTATTTATTCTTTTTATTTTTTAAACAAATAATGCCCAGCTCCAACCTGAAATGCACACTGTTCTGGTCTTCCTTCAGGCCTGGTCAGTGTCGGGTTACAATTTGCCGACCAGGCAGGGAAAATTTTCTCGGCTCCTTGGAGAGGCGGAGGATTTTACAAAGCTGGATTTCCGGCTTCAGCCGGAAAACTGGCAACCCTGCCTCCTACCGTTTCCCTTTTAGCTTCTTTTTTACTCCCTCCCACCCCTCATCCCACTTTGTTTTCTTTTGGCTTTTTTTTCCCAAAGTGTTTTACGAAGCTCACAGCTGCATTATATTATATAAGGTCATATGAGCGCGCGAGATACGTTTAACATTTTAAGTCGGTAGGAAATTTTGAATTTTGCACAGGTGGCGGCCGAAGCCTACTCTTATCGATTTTAAACCACCTAGGGATCTTTAACGGGCACAACTTGCACACAGGACCTTCGAGATTGTTTTCCCTCGTCCGAGAAGGCTAGGTGTACATCTTTCTCCTACCAAAAGATCAGGGATGTAGCTGAAATACAGCAGTAAGGAGCCAAAGAGTAGTAGTAGAAAGGCTGCAGAAAGAGTCAGGAGCCCAGAGGAAGGGGCAAAGGAGGTGAGGGGGTGGGGGTAGAAAGTAGAGACAAAAACAGAACATTGAGCTGCTAGAGAGCAGGAAAGGAGGTGAAAAGAGACAATGTTACTCAATGTTTGAGAAAAACATTTTTCAGTAAGTCGCTACTCGGATTAGAGCCCGGGACCTTTGAATGAGAGGCAAACACCTTTTTTTAACATCTAGGCCACGAGAGCCCCCCTTCCCGCCTTCGCCTTCTTCCATTCTCCCTCATTTCTTTTTTAACGACATTTATAATTTTCAAATCGTTGAGAATAGCCGGGTCCGCACACGGGAAGCGGATCAAAGTTTAAATTGTGTTCTGTGCGCTGAGCAAGCGAGGCCTTGTTGTCCGCGGCTGTTTTGCTGTGCCCGCCTTCGCCCTCCTAGGCCTTTACTCTGTTGCCTTGACCATTAATGATTAATTTGTAGAGGAACCAGCCATCCATGTCCAGGTGCTGTTTTATCCTTCTAAGTTGCTTTGGACCACCACTGCATTATTCTTCATGCGAGTATTCCTGTGCTGTTTATTCACTTTGAGCGACCTAAGCATTTCAGACGTGCCTCTGTGCCAATGGTGGATGATTCATGGTACCATGAACGGTAGTGAACGTAGTCACTGCATTTTGGTTTACAAGGAACCACATCTCTGCCCAAGAACTGTTCTCTTTTCTACATTCTAGATCTAGTTCAATGTTGTAGCCGTGGCTTTCTGTGTAGACATGATGAGAGCAGACTCAAATTGGGATTCAGATCTAGATCTAGAGACGGTGATCTTATACTTTAGCACGTTAAATTCCCAAAGTCTATTAATCCCCGACTCAGACCTTCAAAACTTTGAACTGGGCCTAAAAATGTGCAAACTACCGTAATTTTGTCATGAACAGATCGTATGACAGTGGTTTTCAGTCTTCCATCATGATTTTAGAAGCCTTTGAGTAATCTTGATGACATAGAATTTTGATCTTCCAGATCTGATAGTGGTCGCTCGTTTCGGAAGTCCTCAATTGAAGAATTTAACGTGCTAAAGTATAAGATCACCCGAGAGACTTTCGGCCGAAAAAGATCTAATCTAGATCTAGCTCTCTATAGTCTATGGCTCATGATCTAGATCTAGATCTAATCAATAACACGCCCAGTCTTACACTTACTCACTCGCTCACTCTTAGTACCGTAGTCTAATCTTGTCACCTCTGCCTTTGCCTTTGCAAGAATAGAAATCAAAGACAAGAGAAGCCAATGAATGTAATTTATAATACTCATCAACCAGACCATTGCAAATTCAAAGTCATAACAATCATCAGCCAAATAGATCTAGATCTAGATCTAGGGATAGACTCGTTACAGATCTACTCAGTCATAGTCACACGGTGAGTCTAACTGGTAACAATAAATAACATAGAGGCTACACATTTCCTCAAACACTAATTTCTAAACTCATCTTGACCCAAGACTGACAGTGAAACTGAAACAAACTGAAACTGAGAGGCGATAATTTTGGCAAAAAAGAGGAGGAAGACCAAAATCTAGACTAGAATCTAGATCATGCAATAAGTAAGAATGTAAACAAACTGAAAACAATATACTTTTCAATATGATCCTGTTATTACTAATCTGAAGAATCAACAGTCAGCACGTGAGTGCACGGAAGGAAGCCTCTAGCAACTAGAATCTATGTCAAATTTCGCTGCTTGTGGACAGCGCCATATTAGAAGTAGTGCCAGTTGGTGTGTATTTGTACGCCATGCGCTAGAATTAACAGGCTATTTTTGTTCCCTTGTACAGCTGATTTAGGCAAGGCAACTTCGGATTGAAATAAGGCCTAGCCTAAGCATAGGCCTTGATGTACACTGTAGGCCCTACACTCTTTTTGGTTACTCTAGTCTATGGGCCTGGGTTAAGCGCAACAAAGGGCATAATTGGTTCCTTTCGGGTTTTGCTGTTGTTTTCATAAGAAAAAATATTTTTAAAATAGAAAAAATAAATTGATACCAGTTAAAGCGGGCAAGAGCAGCTTAATTACTTAGGCTAATTGATGTCTAGTTTGTTTTGTGGGTGTGTGGGGGTTTTTTTTCGACCTGGGGCCCAGGCCTCAATTTAATTTGTCGATATCCCGTGGACTAACTTTACTTTATATCCCCACAAGATCTAAAGACTAGGCTAAAACTAAAAAGCCGGGATTTCAAGTTTCGATGGACGCAAATTTCCGCAGTAAAACGAATGTTGATCTTCACATGACCCCGATATAAAGCGCACATACACTTCATTATATATAAATTGATGTAATAGCCAAGTACATGACTGTATCATCTTATTAAATTATAGATCTATGACACATAGTACAGGGAGGGCCTATAAACGGTGCTGATCTATTACAATAGATCTAGATCTTTTTTTAGAGTTTCGAAAAGAAAAATCAACCGGTTTTTTATTTCTGGTTTTATCAATTGTTTATTTTGACTTCAACTTCAAGATGTATTTTCACGTTATTCCCTTTATTGAAGAGTGATAAGAGAAAATAAATTAATTGGAGATGGAGAATAGGCAAAAACGAAATACTAAAGTAAAAGACACGTTGGACACATCTCATACCGAAGCGGAGACAGTGGGCCCCTACACGTGGCCGTATAATTCATTACATTCCCCTCCACCACCACCACCCACACAACACACACACACACACACACACACACACACACACACA